TCAAACAGGAAGAATCTGATATTACAACATCGTACAAGACAATTGAAGAGGCTATGGTCATCGAAGGTGAAGTGTTCCTTGAATCTGAACCAAGAGAAGAACAGGCACCGAATGATGGAGAAGTGACTCCTGTGACGCCTGAGCTAGCCACAGATGGTAGAAGCACTCCAGATATTCTGGACATTACTGGTGAATATGCAACCAGTTATGGACATGTTGAGATGAGTCGACAGTCTTTTGAAATTGAAGAGCCTGTTAGCCCACTTGATGTCACACAAGAAGAAGAGGGAGAAACTTCAAGAGACCATGAACAGATAGAAATAAATACAGCAGATGCTAAGGAAGGTGCAGCACTTGTAGCTGTTGAGCAACAATATCTTGTTGACACACCAGCATCAGAGACCAGTGCCCATGATGAGTGGGTAGAAACACAAGTTGGGGATGCTACCTTGAGGACCAGACAAACCCACAGGGAAGACACCTACACTGATGAAACAGAAGGTGGCCAGACAGTATACACAAGGCATGTTGTGACTGAAACTAGAGTTATTACTAGTGGTGGACCCTTAGTGGAGAGTATAATGCATCCTGCAGATTATCCTGAGGAGTTGATTATACAAGCCCAGCCTCCTTCGCCAGATTCCTTACTCACACCTGAGATCCAGGAACTTCCTGACACCCCAGACTCCTCTACTCATGAAGGCTCTACTGAACCCACAGACCATCAAGGGTTCTGTTACGAGTCCATGAATGTGACACAGTCAACATCTGAATCAACTCAATTTGTAGTAGATGGTGAGGTTGTAGACTATCAAGATGACCAGGAGGAGCCACACGAAGAAGCCCTTTTAGATGGTCCAACTGAATCCGATTACTATGACCCCAACTTAATTGGTGTCTCCCAACAGCAAGAGTTTGAGTATCAGGAGGAAGAGCCTGAACCAGAGATCATTGACTCCCCACAAGATGTGGAGTTTCCAGTAGGAGAGGACATCCCTCCTCAGCATTACTCAGATTTGGCTCTTCAACAAGAGGTCAGTGCAAGTCTTTCACATGAAGAGCAAGCTCTAGGAGATGTAGAAGTAGAACATAGTGAAACAATGGTCCAGGAATCCCATGTGGAGACGTTAGTTTACTCTCAAGAGCATTACTCTCAAGAGCAGTATGTCCCTGAAACTGAAACGTTTGATGTGTCGGACGAGGATCGGGCTGATTCTGTTGTGAGCCCAAGACCACCTGAGCCTGTGTCGGAGGTTGAGACACAGCTGCCTCCCACGGACTTGAATGTCCTAGAGAGCTCACCGGCTCCAGAACCTGAGGCAGAGCAGGTTGAAGAAGGCGCTGTTGGTGGGGATGAGGTGGACAGTCCTACCAAGCCATACCAGGGACAGATACCCATTCCAACAACTCCAGAGACCGAAGGTTCTGAGGAACCTCCTAAATCTCCCCAAGGATCTGTCGATGATCAGTCCACCCATGTTGTCACTCACGAGGAATTTGAGACCAAACAAGAAGGCGGTGGCGTGGTCAAGAAATCTGTACATGTCACTCGCACCACATTCCGTAGAGAGGTCAGCTTTCCTGGAGAGGCCGTTCAAAGTGGACAGGCCATCCTGCAGACTAGATCTGTCTCCGAGTTCTTAGCAGGTCCAGAGCAGACTCAGACTCAGCCGAGATCAAGAGAGGTATTAAGACAAGACTCTCAGAACACATCCCAACGCATTCCTTCTCACGCCTTGCATGAAAGTAACCTCGATTCAAACCTAAAGATTTGGTTGTTGAGTGTTGACCTCAAGGTTCTCGTTGTTTGCCTGGGTTTATTGACTGTTGCGTTCCTTATGTTTCTTTGAGGATTACATTCAAAAGCATCTGTTGTCTAACGTTTTCTTTTTATTTACTGCATGATTTTTTATTTTTGTTGCATATGTTTGCAAGAAAGGCAATATGATTTCATCTTGTGCAATGCATTACATTTATTCAACTTGCTTGATATTTGCAATTTTGAGCTTTAAGCTGTAGCCAACAACTCTTACTTTACAATGTAAACAGAAATATATAAAATAAGGTTACACAGTGTAATATATGCACTAAAAATTAACATTGCAATATGATAGTCAGCAATACTTTTTAGTGCAAAAGAATCTTTATTTTATCAGAATATATGTTAATTGGATTATTCAGTCTTTCATATTATTATTTTTTTTTTTAGAAAGTAAGTGCTTTAACTTGAAAAAAATATTTGTGCGTAGTTTGAGCAATGGAGCTCTGAAAGACAAAATTCTATTCTAAAATAAAACAAAGTAATAACACTAACAACAGAAAGCATTCAATGCATGCTCTAAAAAACAGTTACAATCAAATTTAATAAAGTGTAATCAGAGTTTACTTGAGATAATACTTCAACTGAATTAATCTTATTCAATTCAATTCAATTCAAATGAACATTTATTTTCTTCCATTCAATTTGACAACATATTTGACATCTGCTATACTAAAAATAGTACTTGATCATCAATTAATTTAAACATGCCTAAGTAATTCATATACCGGTATTAACAGATATTTCCACAAATTTCAACATGTTAATTGTTATCCATAGTAGTCAGAAACAAATAGGTACAGGGAGAGTGCACTAAAAAATAGAATCAGAATTTGATTTAATGTATCTATTTTAAGTGCAATATGCGCTGTATCTAACAAGAATTGCTATCAAATTATGCGCTCGATCTAAATAAACACAGTATTTAATGAATTGTGCCTTGATCAGTCAAAAATAAAATATATATATATAATTATTTTTAAACTAAAATTTACTATTTAGTATTATGAAGATATCTGAAAGCCTTTTATTTTCTTCAATACAGTATCAACTTTTTGAAAGAATGATTACATATTCAAGTTTTAAATGCTAATTTTGTCACATCCAGTCTAGTGACAAGTTATTGTCTTATTATTATTATCCTCATCGTCATTATCATTGTTATTATTACCATTATGAGTAAAATTAATGTTTTGTTTTTTATTAATTTTTTCAATTTAATATTTAAAACAGTTATTTTTTTTAAAATATATTTTTAGATGCATATATTTTAGAGGATTAATACAAAGTCTATTTTTTTTTATTGAAATGTTTATTTTGAATACTAAATACATAGGAAACTATTTGCAGATTCTATCTAAATTTATCATGTATTTATATAACAAACATATTGTTTACATAAAATTGGAGAAAGCTTCAATTTTACTTAATATAGAAAAAGCTCATGTACATGTAGAAGAACAAAAATACAAAACCTTGATTAATATGGTGCAGAAAATAAACAAAAATTCATAATTTATGATAAATCGAAAAATTATGAAGCCATAATATTATTTCTTATAGACATAACTAATGGTATAAATTTTCAAAACTTTACAATTATTACGTACAGACATGACTAAATGCTAAAATATAGCATTTGGATAGAAGAAAAGCTTTTGTTATATTATTCTGATTTATTTTTTGTTCTTTCTATTATAATTTGACGGTAGCATTTGCTTTGTATGTTTGTTGACTGCAAGCATAATCCATTATTTTGTTGATGTTATTAATGCATGTCATTGAAATATATATGATTTCTTGTTTTGATCTAATAATAGATAATAAAAAAGAATTATAAAGGAAAATATTATTTGTTTATACGTTATTTTATTTTGTTTTGTGACTAACAATTGTTAATGTCCTGTTATTACATAATTCAATTTGTATTTGTTTGTCCTTACATATGCTATTGTTTTTTTCTATCATTACCTAATATTGCATCGTTTCTTTTCATCAACAAAATATGGTGCTGGTGCTTTCTTTCAAAAGTAATTTTGAAATTATTCTATTTCCACAAACTATTCATGATTGCTGCAAAATGTAGTACACAATTTGGATCCTTACAATCATATTGTATGCCTAGTAGAGGATTTCTGAAAAAGCAAATTATTTAAAATGTAACAATTCTTTTTGTGAGATTTTAATTGAAACCAAAGTGATTCATAAGAAAATGGTTTTCTTCATTTTGTAAACTTCTAATCCCGCCCCCCTCCAAAAAAAAAAATTAAATGAGTCTGTTTTTCAAATTTGTAACTTATTGAGACTAGCAATAATATTGAAGTTTTTCTGAGATCACTTACTTGCATTTTTGTTTTCAGATGTCTAATCAATTTTTGCATTTATCTATGTTTGTGAATTGCTTTTCATTAGTGTACATGTATGCTCTCAAATATTCCTGCATGTAAAACTGTAAAACAAAATCCCCAATCTTGCATGCTTGATAATAACTGATGCTTTCTTGTTGAAACATTTCATTGATACCATTTTGCCTTGAAACATTTTTGAACAGCAACATGCATTTTGTACTGATATCTATGATAAATCAAGGGAAAATGCAATTTTCCCTACTCATGTCTTCTAAATGAGTCTTTTATTATGTTTCTTTCATGTGAGAACTAAGAAGAATATAGTCTTGAGGTTTTTATTCAAAATTTATAAAAATGATAATGTCTTTCAATATATGAAATGAGAAATATTTCATAGGATTTGTATTTACACTCTTCTAAATAATATTAAATAAAACAGTAAATGTTATGATTAAAGGAACCCAACAGAAAGGGGAAATAATGTTCATGAGTTTTTAACTTTTGCAAGAATCCTTGTGTAGTGCTTTTCATAGTTGCCTACGCTTGCTTCATGGTATGGTAGTTCTAAACAACTAGCATTGCATTGGCTGTTAAGAGCCAGAAAGGCATTAACTGTGTACAAGAAAATCAGTTAACGCCCTTCTGTCACTGAAGCAGATAATCCATAAAGGAAGCATCGTGCACTTTATAGTATGGTACTGTTTAATAACAAAGGCTTTCTGTAGCGCTTGTTTGAAAGTTTGGTTCAATTCACCACCCCTTGTTCATGTCTTACCACGTTTTTTCGAAATAAATATTGTTATTTTTCCGTCGTTATCTCACCCCCATTTTAGGAGATGGAAGAACGCACACCGCAGATATCCGAGGTACCGTTTGGATCAGAAGACTGCATAGTTGCTTTTCTTAATTTTCTTTTCTTTTCTTTTCTTTTATCATTTTACCTCTTTAAACAATATATTCCATTTTCCGCTGCATGTAACCTATTATTGAAATATATATCACGTTTTGTGGCATGCTCGAGTCATGTAGCAGCCAAATATTTATTTGAATATGAATTATCTGTGTCTTCATCATACATATACATCAAATGAATTTTCATACTCAATTATTTGGATTTCTTTTAGTCCTTATTATCTTTCAATTTTATCCTTATTTTTTGTTTATTAAAATGGTCTCACAAACGACCATTCTCCCTCTTTCTATCTTTTTCCTGTGTTTCTTTATTCTCTTTCTCTTTTGTTTCTATATTACTATATTTCTATCTCCTTCTCTTCCTTTATCTCTCTCTCTTCCATGATTATTTTGTCTCTCTATCTCAGACATTCCCAGTATTATTCTCTCTCTGTGTCTCCCCCCTCCTTATCTTCATGCCCTTTTGTCATTCTGTACTCCTCTTTTTCCTTCTCTCCCTATTCCTCTGTACCACTCTCTTCACTGCATCGTCTTTCCCTCTGTATTACTTTAACTCTCGTTCCTTCATTCAGTATCAATACCTTTGTATGCCCATTCTCCTCTTCACAATCTTTCATTTCATCTCTGTTGCTTTCCCTCAATATTCTTCCTTTTAAACATCTACTGTACATATTTCACCATCCATCCATCTTCTTTTTCTCTTATCTATCCCTGGCACCGTATGTCTTCATCCTTTTCTCTTTCATCCCTCTTATATTGTTTGCTGAGAGTAAAAAAGAGCATTGAATTGTAGCATTTTACATATATTAATGCTATAGTCAATGCACTTCTAGCTCTTAACAAACAATACATTTCCTTTTAAACTTACGGATTATCTTGACCGAATACATCCTTATGTGTAATCTATTGAGAGGGAGAGGGAGAAGAGACTTCAAGAGAGAGAGAGAGAGAGAGAGAGAGAGAGAGCGTGAGAGAGAGAGAGCGAGAGAGTGAGAAAGAGAAGAGTTGAATGGAAGGAGGTGAAGATATGAATTAAGAATAAAGCAAATAGTATTAATCACGTTTCCCCATCTTGTCATCTCACATCTAATGAATGTCCTTCAGCCATGAATGTGCTTCTCTTTGCAGGTGCACCTCCATCATCATCCTGATATTTTTTCTTCCAATTGCCCCCTTGTTCTCTTTAAAAATATGCCCATCTTCAATGACTTTGTTATATGCCGTTTTTTAATTTTCACTTAACAATTTGCTTTGTTATCAATTTAGGTTGGCCGTTTCATCTCCATCTTCCTATCATTTCATCTCATCGTTTCATCCATTATCATTCTATCTATCTATCTTTCTTTCTCAGCATATTCCAAGACTCGGTTCTTCCTACCGACTCGTCGCATTTGACTGGGCTGCTTCGCCCTCCGTTTCATTTCCAAACCTTTCCATCTCGTGCTCCTACCAGCATGCTCTGGCGGCCTCTACAGTCCGTTCTTTCATTTCTTTCTTTTGACTACTTTAGTTGTATCCCTCATTTCACTCACTTCTTTAGTCCCATGTATTCATTTTTTCAGTTGTGTTACAACTTACCTCCCCCCTCCCAAGTTCAAAGTTCTTCTGTTTGAAGTCTTTCCTTTCTTTTCATCCCATCTCCTTTTATCTAAAAGTCCCATTTCCACAGACTCTTTGGAAATTGATATACACAAGTGTATTATGATTTCAAGTGTTCTGAAACATTTGTGGAAACTATGATTGTCGCAAAAATCTTTATTTTTGATGGATCCTCAATACAGTGTGTGCTTTGAAAGAAGTTAACTGAGTTTTGGTTTGTTCAAGTATTAAGGTAGATGTGTGTTGAATTAATGGGAAAGGAAGAGTTTTGAATGAATGTAGAAGGATGATGGAGAAGTGATGAGAGAGTTTAGTTAATTAGTTTTCAGATATTTAATGTGTGTGTATGTTTAATGTTGAGATACATGTCGTATGATTCTGTAGGAGTGTAACATGGCGCAATAGATGTGTGATTCTCAAAGCAATGAAATGATTAATGTGATTATTTGAGGTGACAAATTGAACTTTATTTTCAGTTCGATTCACCTTTAAGACATCGTCTGTGTTGTATCCTGTCATGTATTACCCCCCTACAGCTGTTTGTGCACGAGTGTGGTTGTACCTTGCTGTTCTCTTTGGATAAATGATACTGTATCTTGTTTTTAGTTCTTTTCTTTAATGAATTCAATTTCAGACAAGTGTGAGTTTTCTTTTATTTTGTTTGCAAAACATACAATTTTAGGCACATGTATGCCATATTTGCCAAAATATACACCTTTTGCCAAAAATATACACCTTTTATACTATAGCAAACCAATTATATACAAAATTGCATTTTAAATTCCTCTCCTGATTATATCAATATATTTATGAAGTATATATACATTTATATCAAATTAACTTCTATATCAAATTTATTTGGTTTGCATATCTACTCCTTTTGATATACATACACATTTCCTGCAAAATAATAAGAAAAATATGAAAGAAAAAGATAATTTCATATTAGCATTGAAATAAAGACTTGCTGTTTATCTTTTATATACAAATCACTTGCAATTCTTACTTCAATTTGTTGTTTATCCAAATTATTTTCCATTCCAGTGAATATTTCAGTTGACATTATGATTTTCATAATTTGTATATTTGAATTAAAACAAAATATTTAAATTGCAATGAGTTTTATGATTCGTTGATTCCTGTCTCTTATAAATCAAACAAGCTTCATGATTGGTCATTTTATATATATTCTCCATAGCCATTGGTCGATGAGCAACTGGACGCACCCATGGTGTTAGGAGATAGAGAGGAGAAGCCAGCATACACACCAGAAGAACTAGAAGACTTTGCCCAAGCTTTGAATGAATTTGCAATCAATGGTATGTTTATATTTCAAGTACCAGTATTATTAAAAGTCCACATTTTTAAGGGCTGGATCTTTCTTATCCCTGAGATCAGGGTACAGTGCATTTTTAAGGAATACATCCTACCATGAACCCTCTCATGACCCCCTGGGTTGAGATTTGCCATTACTCAGTCCCTTGGATAGGATGAAAAGCCATACACAACTTGAAAATAACTCCAAACCTGGGCCCGTTGCATAAAACTTACCATTGACGGTAACTTTGCCATCAATGGCAACTACCATGGTAACATGGCTCAACAGCCAATCAAAATCAAGGTTTCCATGGTAGTTACCATCAATGGTAAGTTTTGTGCAACAGGGCCCATGGTGGGTTAGAACTGAGAGGGTAGGGAAAAGTCTACACATCAAAGTCAACATCAATCCAAGACTTTAATGAAATTCTTACAGAGTTACTTCTTGACAGTGGCGACACCTTTCAATGGTCACACCTTTCCACTCGTAATGAAACTCAATGCCTTATTTTCTGTTCTAACAGTCAGACTGACCAAAAGAAAATCCAACATGATCACCTATACCACGTTTTACTGGTCATTTTAAGACATCATTACTCTGTTTCAGTGGTCAGACTCGCCATTCTAAAACCCCACATCTCTTTTCCATTCGAATGGTCGGAATTACCACTTGAAAATGCAACTTGATGAAAGATACTTTTCTTTAATCAGTCACTTTTTGACACTTTTGTTCCGTTACAATGGTCAGACTTACCCGAAGATGACCAGGAGGCACCAGCCCCTCCCGCAGGACCTATTGTCACGGAGGACATGAGCGCCACAGAATCTGCCCCACCCGCAGTAGAGACCAACCTGAAGCATCTAGATGCCATGACACCGGAAGAAGAGGCGGAGATGGAGGACCTTCTCAACATGGACTTCACCAAGGCCTACCACGAGCCAATGGAAGAAGGCCAAGCTCCCCAAGTAGCAGAGCCTGAGGAAGTTTCTCGTAAGTTTTAAAGCCCCGCTGTACTACTAATTATAGCTACTTGCTCCCTCTATATAGAAAACAATGCCTAAGCGGTGCCCATTGGTCCCCCATGATCCTCTTTTTCTTATATTGATCGAGAGCTGAGTTGATGAGATAACCACCTGTCAGTAACCTAGCAGGGTGGTCTAATCCCTCCTGGCCAAACTAGTGCAGATGGGCTTCAAGTCTTTGAGTCATGGTTGGGAAGTACTGTAGGGTTGTAGGATCACGTACTTCATAGAGACTGATCAACACTTAGTCTGCAGAATTTTCCTCTGAACTCTATTTAGGTTAGGTTGCAATCGGGTAAATATTATGAAAGTTTAGGGTGAGGGTTACATGCATTATACGTTAGGGTGTGTGCTTGAAGTTGGGAATTCTTTCAGTGTAGGAATCGACTGCAGAGCAATTATCGCCAGAGCACGTGTTGTACATCCTCATCGAGTTGGTTGGAGAAGATGATAGGGTACAGATCTCTGAAGATAGTGAGGCTGAGATGTTACATTTTTTTCCAAGAATTATTTCATACAGCTCTGTAGGTTCCCTGAGGGAGAAGTTTAAGGCTGAGCTTCATAACTCTATTATCTTCTCTTTTCTCTATCACTATGCTTCTGAACAATTCTCAGTGCAATGTACTTTTTTTAGATTACCAGTTGTGATGATGTAATATGCAGTGTTATCAAATCTATTTTTTTTACAGTGTGGCCCTCTAAATCTGCTGATGTTCTGCTCTGCATTTTACTTTATTGTTTCACAACTTTCGCCCCAGTATACAGGTGCACAGGTTCCTTACACACTTTGCAGACCACTTTTTTTTTTAAATTTCATGTCGTTCCATATGTTTGATTCCAATGCCTATCCCATGCCATTTTTAATCGTGTTCAATAGCCCATCAGGATTTTTGAATAAATATTTGTGCTTTTTATCTCTACTTCTACCGGTATTTATAAATTTGGTCACCTTGGATATTTGTCGGAGAGAAAACATCTAACTTTGACCTTAGTGACGATTTGCTAATGTTCTTGTGTATATGCAATTCATGGTGATACTTGACTGCAAACATAATCAAGAAACAATGTGAGGATATTTCAAAATCCTTGTCAATCACCTATTAAAATTGTCAACATAACAACGACATATTGGAGGGGGGGGGGGGGGGGTTGTTTCACAAAGATCCTAAGTTGAACTTACATGTATCTCTAAGTTGGACTTAACAATTATGGAAAGCTGTTAAAATATTATGTAAAAGTTATTTCAAAAGGCATAAAATGTTGAATCAAATCATTCTTATTTTCTATTATCTAGAAGATTTCATGTTCTTGACGTGGAATTTATGAAAGGTCTGAAATACTTCAATATTGGCATTTGAATATATTTTATTTTAAGGCGACAAATGGCTCTCCTTAATGTTAGGATATTTGTGAAACAGCCCCAGACATGATTTCTATAGGTTTCGATATTGCCCTTCACTTGTTTTCTTGAAAGTGTTTTTGAATTTGTCGTTTGTAAGTAAGATTTGTTATGGCTACAACTAATTTGATACTGACCCTTGGATATCTAGCATCCACTCCGGCCAGTCCGACCACTCCTCACGTTGACCTGTTACCGGACGATGTTGACCTCTTGGCCGCAGCCAATCAGCTTCAGAAGGAAATGGAGGAGGAGCCAGAAGTGGGTGGAGCTAGAGGGGCTGAAGCTGGAGGTGATTGGACGAATAAAACTTGAAATGAAATCATGTAGAGAACTATCATTATGATAACATGGGGGGGGGGTAGAACAGATGGAATGAATGCAAATAAGAAAAGTAGTAGTATTATCAAAAGTATGAAATATAATTGAATCTTCAGCAAATAATCTAAGTTAAACAATATTTAGTGGAAGATCGTAAATCATTGATATAGGATAAAAACAAAGTGGGCCTGAGGACTGACCCTTAAGGGACAGCATATGTTATCCTTCTCCTATTTGATAATATTTCCTTGAAGCAGTTTAGTTTTAGTTAAGTAAACATTTGATTTTATTCCTTTGAATTACAAAATGAAAGAAAATATAGATAGTTTGAATACTGCAGGATATATCTATTCTGCATGAGGATGTGTCGAATTAGTTTCATTCTTAAGGAATGGAGAAACAAAAAAGGTTATTATTAGTACATTACTTACTTGTAGACAACAAGATGTGATTGGTTGATTGTTGATTGAATGCTCGATTGTGACTTGCTGGTGATTGATTATGCATATTTGGAGCTAGGAAATTAAATAAAAGGAAGATAATTGTCATCATTATAGTAACACCTATATCATTATTCCACCCCTTAGGTGTTGAAGTTTGTTGATAAAGTTGATAAAGGGAATAAAAACTTCTTTTGTTGTTTTAAAGTTTCTGAATTTCTTCTTCTCTCTCCTTCTTTAGCCGAGGATCGCGAGCCCAAAACGCCCGAAATCACTGATTTCCTTGAGGGGCAGTTTTCTTTCCTTCCCGACGGTGGGTAAAACAAGGAATGGAATTTTTTTAAAGGCTGCAATTTTGATTTTTAGCAGCATAGTGGCAGATCCAGAGGGGGTTGCAAGGGGCAGGTACCCCCCTATTTTGGGGGATAACTCCCTTTGCAGCTGCTCACCCCCTCGATGGAAAATAATTCTTGGATCTGTGGCTGCAGCATGCTATGAATGAGGTGGAGTTTCAAAAAGCCTGTTAGCATTTGTAGATTAATATAGTGTATTTTGCGGTCTAAGTGGTGAAATATCAGCTGCCCCTTAAAAAAAAAAAATGAGGGTCAATTTGAATTCCTTATAACATTCACTGATTTGATGTACACAATTTTAAATGTTTAAACGTTTTTTTACAAAATTTCAGACATCCAATTCTTACTGCTCCATTTGGAATTGGGGAAGGTATAATTAACTGCAAAACAAAGATATTAGTAACATAATGGTAATTGGATTACCCAAGTTCTATTTGCAATTCTATTCTTTCCTTATGCAATGGCTATACTGTATATTGAATCTTAACCCCCCCCCCCCTGTTTGATCACCCACTGACAGGACATACATAAGCATTTAAACCACTAGTAAGGAACCATCTTTATGGACAATTTTGCACTGTGGGATTTCAGAACTCCATTCTCTGATTAGTAAAGAAAATAAAAATAATGAAAATAATAATAACTAAAAAAATATGCATATATACTGGGAAACTGAAGGTTTAGGTGTGCTATGCTGCTTGTGATATTTTTGATACATACCAATCATGATGAAAATAAATATACAAGATATTGCTTATTTTCATCACTCTTCTGCACTCATATGAAACATTAGCACCATGATCATGCCTGCAAGTGCATTTGTGTGAGAAAGATGGTTGCTCTGGTGACAAATACTCCCTGGGAAAATTACTGAATTCCCTATATCCTGGTCACACCAAAGAGACTAACAACAGGCTGGTAATGGTTGACAACAGACTGACAATGGTTCAATAATAGATTGACAACAGATATAGAACAGACTGACAACATTGACAAAAGACTGACAAGAGACTGACGACAGACTGACATCAGACTAACAATTGACTGACGACATACTGACAACAGACCGACGACAGACTGACGACAGACTGACAACAGACTGATGACGGACTGACGACAGGCTGACAACAGACTGACAACAGACTGACAACAGACTGACAACAGATTGACGATGGACTGACAACAGACTGACAACGGACTGACAACTGACTGACAACTGACCGACGACAGACTGACAACTGACTGACGACAGACTGACAACAGACTGACAACGGACTGACGACAGACTGACAACAGACCAACGACAGACTGACAACGGAACAACGACAGACTGATGACGGACTGACAACAGACTGACAACAGACCAACGACAGACTTTGATAGTAGACTGACAACAGACCCAAAACACACGAACAATAACCTGACAACAGACTGACAACAGACCAACTACAGACTGACAGTAGACTGACAACAGACCCAAAACACACGAACAATAACCTGACAACAGACCAAATACCGACTGACAATGGACTGACAGTAGACTGACAACAGACCTACAAGAGACTGACAACAGATTCACAACAGACCGACAACAGACTGACAACAGACTGACAACAGACTCGCAACAGATTGTTAACAAACTGACAACAGACTCAAACAATCAGCCTGTTTGATGTTGATTTGATTGTGTGACTGGAAGAAAGACTATACCTTACTCTAACTCTAACCCTAAACTTTATCTAAACCCTAATACCCAACCCTAAACCTGACCCTATACCATTGACATAGCGTGTACTACTTTGCACCTAAGCAAACAGCAGATCATCAGACAAAAATGGTAAAACAAAAAGTATGCTATCCATGTGTATGTATTCGGATCGCTGCTCATATTAAAGTGTTGTATTGGACTGATCGCTTTTAAACAGTCCATGAGGTGATTATGTTTTGGAATTCTTTGGTATATACATTTCATCTTAGTGCTGTTCTGTGCTTTCAATGCTCTTTGACATACTCATACTGCACATGCAACATATATCCATTAAATGATTTTTTTTTTTTTAAGTTTTACTAAAAGCTTTTGGAATGCATAATTGAAAAATTTGTGCAAATTGTGATGGGTAGCAAAAATAAAAAAAAACGGATGAGTGTGCAAATGTTCAAATCAACCTTGGAGCTTGGAGAAGGTACCTTGGTAGATAGATAGTTATACCGGTAACATCCCTGATTTGAAATGCATAATACCATTTAAATTAGCTGGAGAATACCCTTCATGCATCAGTGCAATGTCCCATATCAGGGTTGGGGTCATGGCTAGGGTTTAGGTCAGGGTTAGGTTTAGGGTTTGTTCCAGGGTCTAAGTTCAGAATTTGGCTAGTAATTTATATAGATATTGATTTCAGAACAATTGTCATTTGGAACACGTGTCGGGCATAAAGCTGTAGTGTTTAGGGCTCGCGTAGGTTTACTTCTTTGTGGTGCAATGCATGTATTGGATGTGTGTAGATGATGTGGATTTGAATGATTTTTGGAGTGTTACTAACAATAAAAGGAAACCCTAGACAAATTGCTTCAAGTAAATATATAGAAAACTTATAAATTTGACTATAAGTTAAAGATATTGAGTGTTGTGGTGTAGCCATTGTGAAAGGGAGAAATAGGTTAGGGCCTAGCATTATAAACAACTCAAAATAGTGAATAAAATATGATTAAGCTTTGTGAAAGTTAAATATAATTTCACATTTAGCAGTATGGAATTATGTATAGCTTGTGATCTAATTAGCATGATGACATTTAGGGATTATTTGTGGTGTAGTAATATACATTTTATGGTACAGCATTTCAAATCCTAACATTTGGTCTTCGTTGATTTAGATGATAAAACATGTTCATGTTTGAATATGACCACAAGATGGTGTTTTCAAATGAAAGTACACCTGTATTATACTGTCATAGAGTCTTATCTTAAAATAAATCACTTTTCTTCCCTTATAAAGTTTTCTTGTAGAACATATTGAAGTGTGCTGCTCTGCAGTTGGAATAATTTGATTTTTTTTTCCCTACCCAGAAATTCATCCTTTTTTATTTAGCTGGATGTTGCATTTTTCAAAATCCCTTCCCCTTTTTGTTTCTTTATGAATCAACGAAAAGCCTGCTGATTGAACCCCAACTTGTTCACTTACAGCACCTCTTTTTGTCTACCTGTATTGTTTCGACTGCATATTTTTCACCCCTTAATGAAGCATTTTGATTCCACAGATTTTGCACAGTGCGCCTAATTTTATCAATTACTAACTTATCTCTCATTCCTTATTTTCTCTCCCATTATTTAACGATATACCCATGTTAAACTTTGCAGTTCAAATTTTGGTTTGTCTTTTGCTCATATACGTAGGTATTTTTATCATGATGCGAAATGATGTAAATTTTTTTTAATGCAAATTTAATTGAATGATTCATCACTCGTGTTCGTTCAAAGGCATGGAACACATTTGATGGTTTCAATTCCATCAGCCATATCTTCTTTTTTAATTTACATATTTGCTTTCATGCCAAAAAAAGTTGAAGCATTGGTATCACAAGGGTTAAGCCTGTACTAGTTGAAAAAAGTACAAATTTCCTATGTTTTATTGGCGGGGATATCACAATACGTTTTGATTTTTTGCAATCATCGTTGAATTCAAAGAGGCTTTTGCTGTTCTTTTCATTCATTATACAATAATGAAAATTGAAGTTCAGAGTCGACTGTGGACATTGTCAGGTGAGTACGGTGACAGAAAGGCATTAACTGTTTACAAAAGTATACAATTAAACACCCTTCTGGCGGGTGTTTCACAAAGATCCTAAGTTCAACTTATCTCTAAGTTTGACTTAAAAATTATGGAAAGCTGTTAGCATCTTTGAAAATATTTTGTAAAAGTTATTATAAATGGCATAAAATGTTGATTCATATTTTCTATTATCTAGGAGATTTCATGTTCTTGATGTGGAATTTATGAAAAGTCTAAAATACTTAAATTTCTGCTTTTAAACATGTTTCATTTTAAGGCTACAAATGGCTCTCCATAATTTTTAAGTCCCACTTAGAGTTAAGTTCGACTTAAGTTCTCTTTGTGAAACACCCCCCTGTCTCTCCGCGAAGATGGTGAAGTTCTTACAACAGAAGCATACTGTGATATTGACCAAGATATCTTGTGTTATAAATTTCTTATTTGCAGATCCTATGGGAGTGGTTGAGACTGAACCAAACATTGAGTTCCCTCCAGAAATGGAAATGCCAGGTAAGCTATTGAAAAAAAGAACAAGAATATAAATTTTGTTTCATTTTGGTCAACTTTCTTCTGCAAGGTTTGATCACCATGCATTATCAAGTTTGTGAAACGTGTCTTTAATAGTGGCCACCTCTCTAAAAAGGCCACCATAATGGTCACCCATATTGCCTCCCTTTATAAGGAAATATGCGTTGGAGAACCTCTCTAGAATGGCCAACTGCCTGCAGTGGCTACGTACTGTATTTTCCTTGGGTGGCCTTAATAGACAGGCTTAAATGTTTATCTCTGAATGTTTACCCCCCCCCCCCCCCCAAAAAAAAAAAAAAAAAAAAAAAAAAAAAAAATCCCAGTTAAAATAATTTTGAAATTGTTAGATTGACATTGAAAAATCAAAAATGCTAAATTGGCATCATCGAAGAGTTAATTTGATCGTCAAAATGTGTTCCTTTCAGTCGATGGTGATGAGGACATTGAGGAGGAGATCGAGGAGTACGAGGAGACCCTGGACGACGGCACCATCCGCAAGGTCATCAAGCGACGGATCAAGAAGCGCACTGTCCAGATGATCCCTGTGGAGATTGACCCTTCGCAGTATCCCGAGGGAGCCTTTGGCGATGACGACGATGTCAGAAGGTAAGTCAAATCTTCAGAATTTTCCATGATGTCTCAGGATCTTTTAAAGGCATCGTTTAACAATGTTAAATCTAAGATGCATGACCCTACATGTAATCAGTGTCTGTGATATGGTGTAATACTGAAGCCCTAACAAAATAGCGCTTCAAAATATCATGAAGTGCTTCAAAAAAGTAAAAGTCTTTGAGTGACCGGTTTTACCATCCTCATTTTCCCCAATAGACTGTAGTGTTATAAAAATCGTTAGGAAAACGAATTGTGAAATTTCGATTTCCAATCATAAATATCTTGATAATCAGACAGGCGATCGGCTTGTAAAAGTCATGGGGTTCCTGACTGACCCAAAGGTTTATAAATATGATTGCAGTATGAGCTAATATAAATCCAGGATATTGTTTCAGAATTGGAGACAGATACTTCCTAAAAGATACCCAATCCCTTTAAGTATTTGGGGGTTTTTTCCATCGATTTCTCATGACTTTTTATGATTACTCAGGTATTCTCAAGATTTTGAATGCACACAAGTTATATATCTAGACGAATGGTAGACTCTAACCATTTTTTTTACTCTCCTCTGGCCCACCTCCAGGATCACAGTCCACAAGAAGGTCACACGCAAGACCTTCATGAAAGACGGAGAAGAAGTGGATCAGCAAGAGGAGGTCGAGACCAACATCGAGGAGGATGGTGTCGTCAAGGAGAACAGTGAACTCCGGGAGGACCTCCAGCAGATCGTCGACGGACTTCTCAACGACCAGTCGATAGAGGGCGAAAGCATGACGACTGTCGTCGTTTCGGAAGAAACAGTGGAAGGAGACGAATCTGAAATTTAGATTGTTCTCTTTCTGTTTTTGTGTGTCGTGGTCGTTCAAATCGTTTCATATCCTTGTAGAACTTTGAGAGGATCAAACTTTAGAAAATTAAAAAAAGATCATAGCATCGTTTTACATTACCGTATTCATTTATACATTGTATTCATCAGCAGAATGTTGTTTTATGACAAGAAATTTAAATTACTAGGATTGGATAAACCTGTGTTGATGCAGTTCAAATATTTGCTATTTCTCCGAATGTGAGAATATAAGGCGCATTCTTCGGAAACTTATCATAGAATTAAAAAAATAGTAACTTGCTTTCTTATTGTAAAAAAATTTGAATACAATTATTGTATATCCATTCATGACATGTCTACTCTGTTTGATACGTAAAGATGTGACGATCGATCATACTGTATTGTTAGTCATAATTCCTGCTCTGTAAAATGGAGAAGGCAGGTTCAAGCAAATGCTATATGTAGGTACTTGTAATGTAGGGCTAGTGCAAAGACGAGGTCACAAAACTTGCGTGAACTTTGACCTTTGACCCAGAGCAGACTGCCTGGATATTCAATCTTTGACTGGACTCGGATTATCTTGTAATTATTGTACATGTTTAATAATAGACAAAAGTGATTGTTTGTGTGTGCGTGGCTGTGTCATGAAGTAGATTCCTGTGTTCTTAGAATGTTGTTTCTCATGCTCAACAGATGCAATTTGAGAATTAGCAGATATTTGGGAGGAAATAAACTGCTAATTGTGTTTTCTTATATCACGCTATACAGTGAACTTTTAAAAAAGTTGGGGAAGAAAAATACAGCATGGAGTTCGTGTAAGGAGTGAAATATAGATGTTGAATAATGATATTAAACCTGGAAAAATTATGAAATGTTTCTTTGGAATGTAGAGCGATTTGGTATATGGGATCTTATCTATTGCTTCACGCATGCTGATGGCATCATTCTTTAGAGAACTTCTTTGTTGTTTTGTCTGTATAAACATTGATCGTGAAAAGAAAATTTAGCTCGCTTTATTTGATAGAGATTATGGATTTATGACTTTCTGCGAATGCACTCTTCTCGTTGGTGTTATTTGATGCCAACATGGGAAGCGTTCATTTCATTCTTTTTCTTTGGGATGATTTGTAGCGGTAATTAACTTGCCTCGGGTTTTAGCTTCAACTAACCAATCGATACCATGTCATTTCCAAATGAAATAGATTATATCTGGGTGTATAATATTTGCTTATTTGTGATTTCAATATTCACTCGTAAAGAGGATTTCTGGAAAGTAGATTGGTATAATAGTAGACTCTTGCCTGTGGTTCAGTGTAATGTTCGTAGATAAATCTGTGATTTGTGTGAAATTTCAAAGAAATTTGTTCGAAAAAAGGATATGAATGCTGTATATGGCTTTGCTATGGCGAATATGAATATCGTCAATTGATTAACATGATTAATGAATTTAAACTGTCACATTCTTTGTAATTTGGAGGTGTTTATTCTGATTTTAGTGCATGCTGATGCTATCATAGCGATTACGTAATCCCATATAGAGTCTGTCGACATATTTTGTGCAGTACTTGTCTGGTCTACTCCTGTGTATACCCCCAAGACATTTTACCATGTGATATAATATTATTCTAAGTGCAAAAAATGGATAGGAATTCTAATAAGGCATGTTTTGACTTTCTTTCTTTCGCCAAAAAATAATCATGGCATAATGGATCGCATATAAATTTGGAAATTATCTAACTTTGATGAAATATTTGATTAATCACAATATCTAGTTGCTATATTATAGAGTGTTTTTCTGTAGTTATCTATCGGTGTGACGATATAAGATTAAAATATAATGTTGATTTACTTTCCAATTTAAAAGCAGAAAAGTATGATATATATTGCAATGTGATTGTTTCTTTAAAAACACTGGGTAATTCATTCTCTTTTTTTTCTGTGATAATGGTAAATATATATATAGTTCAAATGTTATTGCAGTGCAGATGATAATTAATAGACTAGGCAATGTTTCCTGCACTTAAAATAGATTCGGTAGCTGTGTAAATGTACATCAATAAGACTCGCTTGACTAGCTGAAAATTAATAGTAGACAGCTCCATAGGATCTATATATTAAACAAAGAAACACTGCAGTACAAGTGCACAATGTGAAACTGGTGTATTTATGACAGCTCTTAGGACACTGGTGCGTATTTATGTCTGCATTTGGTGAACTTGGAGTATGATGTAAATTCCACTTATTCAACATTACAAAAAAAAAATTGGTTGTGATATTTTGAGTTCTTCCTACAAAGAGGGAGGTATTTCATACATTGTTTTTCTCTCTTTTTTTGTTTGTTTCCTGATGTGGATGTATAGAGGTGTTTCATTCTTGAGATACTATTGAAAGTAAACAAATTATGGTAAACAGGAAAGCGTGTGATACAGCCGTTTGAAGAAGAAAAAAAAAATCATGTGCGTTTATTCTAAGGAGAAGGGTTATCTGTCTGCACGTTCCCAGTAAATGAGAAAAAAAAACTTACAAAATTTGTTGTTTTTGTTGTCTTTTTGTGTCCATGGGGAGATGGCAGAGATTGATACAGAACAGGGAGAGTGCAGAGGCTTGAGATGGGGGGGGGGGGAGGAAGAGGAAAAATAAGAGAGAGAGAGATCCGAGATCTGCACTTTCACACTTAAATGATGAAGGAAAAAAAGTGTTATTGTCTTTTTGCATCTCTTGTTGAGAGTGAGGTACACTGTTGTGAGATCTGTCAAGGTAGATAAGCAGAGAATGGGATAGAACAGAAAAGGGCAGGGGCTTGAAAATAAATTTTGAGAGAGGGGGAAGAGAAATGAGAAAGAGAGAGAGAGATCTGTACTTTCCCAGTAAATAAAGAAAAAACTGATGATTTTTGTTCCCGATTAATATTATACAAATAATACACAGCATTGTATTATTTGTTTTATAAGATGTTTCATTTGTGTTATAAAATGATATTTTAATACATGATTTTAATAATGACCGGTCAATAGTAAAATAGCAAAATTACTTGTTAGGCAAAATAAATGCCTGGTCACGTGTACGCTCTCAACCAATCATTTGATTACGATCTGCGTCATCGTCTATTCGTGCATGTTGTAAGTGAGGTACACTAGTGTGAAAATTGTTCGGCAGATGGGCAGGGGCTTGAAAAAGAGAAGAGAAAAGGGATACAAGAAAATAAGTGAGAGGAAGAGAGAGAGAGAGCGCCCATACGCACACAACTAACGCACACAAACACACCCACACACAGTTGACTAGAGCAACATCTTGTTTTCACTGGAGGAGGAGATCTATCTTTACCTTTTGGAATCTTAATGAACAGAAAAGGGGGAATATGCAGCTATTTGATGACTTTGTATCAAAGAAACTATCAAGCCGTACATAAAAATAAAAAATCTGATATAAACAATCTTCACTGCTCTCCATTATTGAATGAGGAATTATGCAGTTAGTCTGTAGTGTAGTTGGCAGAATAGAAACCATCAAAATAATTATACAAAATACAAAATGTCCAAGTTTACTATTGATATGTAGTTCAGTTCTTGTTTAAGAAGTTGCAAATGCCTTCAAAGTGCATGGTTATTGCTCTTATTCTTATAAATGACATTTCTAGTGACCTTTTAGAACCTAAAATTGCTATGAAGGTAATTTTAGACCCCAAAATGTGTGAATTTAGATTGAGCCGTCTCTGAAACGATTTTGATCAAACAAAGATGTTTTTGTCATTTAAATTGTATATTCTTTCAAATTTGACACTCGGTTTTTCATTATCTCACACAAAAATATTTGGTGTAGCGCCCTCTGCAACAAAACTCAACTATCCCTTTAATTTTTGCGTAAATGCAATTACGTCTTAGGTCATGTACTAAAATATTATAGTATAATCCTCGTGTTACCTCCGGTCATCGATTGCTAGAATTAGGCCAGTCCGAGCTGCTGGCTGTTATATAGATTTAACTGACGTAACGAAAAATTCATAAAGGAGAGGGGGACCAGGGCATTGGGCCGGGGAGGGGGGGGGGGGGGGGGGGGGGGGGTGGGGGTGGGAAGGCGGAATCCTCCCCGCCCTAATAACGAAGGGGGGGGGGGGGGGGGGGTATGTAATGTACTGTATCTGGGGAGTCTCGCCTTATGTAAGTTGTTTCTTGTGTAGAGTACCGAAGCTGTGAGTCTGTGACATCATAAAAATCTATTCTTAGAATTTCTCAATTTGTTCTTCTTTCTCTGAAAGAGCATCAAAAATAATGTCCAAATGTCGAAAACCAGTTGAAAATGTTAAGTATTGGCTGAGATATGACCATCTGAATGAAAAGGTTTCCTACAGGAACTTATATTGCTCTGGTTCATAAAGTTATGAAAAAGCTTTTTTTTAGGGGGGAGTGGTGCTTTAAAAATAGGGATATTGCGTCCCATGTGGGACAGAGACATCAATCTATACACAGAATTTGGGCAACTTGCACTCGCAGTTGGTCAGAGCATGTACCTATGGTCACAGCATGACGTATATTCTTTCATTTTGTGCTCTCCCTACAAGGCAGTATTCGCCATGTTGCGTCCAACTTGAACTGGGTTGGCCAAACTCTCGTAATCAATGGCTCGAAATGATGCTGAATATCCCTCTTGATATACGCCTCCGTATAAAGGAGCTAAATCCACTTTTGATGAAAATTGAGTTATTGATACCAGAACATTGTTTACTTCAGTATCCATCTTTCAACAAAAGTACTTACCTACATTTTGGGAGTCATTATGAAAACATGCACCTTTTAATATCACTTTTCCATAGACGCCTGTACAAAATCTGGTAAACAAATGCGTTTTTCTCTCAAGTTAAAAAATGGATTTAGCTCCTTATGGAATTCAACTCTTCATTTGCTGGGGATTTTATAATTCACCGAGTGCTGATCAATTTTGGTCAGGGCAACTTGTTTATACAACAAACCAGAATCAACAATGTAGCAGATCTTCGGATCGCTGTTCGGTCAGTCAACATTATATGCTTTTCATTTCATTTTGTTGGTTTTCAATTAAAGAACGAGACTGATATCATATCAGTCTATCACTAATTTTTTACTAATTTTTATCTACCGCTTCTTTTCCCCCTCCATATAGGTACATCCAAGGGTGTCGATTTGTATCCGTGGTTGGGGGGATGATAGGTGCCAAAATATTTTCGGCAATGGATCAAAGCAACCAAGAGGTAGGAGCGCGTAGCCAGGATTTCATTTTAGACCGTTCTCGACTCTTAAAAGGTACTATGTCCCTTTTGCAGCCAACCTCAAATTCTGTAGAACTTTGCAGGAATTATGAATATGTCATGTATGTCCTATCTGTGAAATTTAAATGTTAGCAGTGTCCTCATATTCAAATTATGCAAGGAAACCCGTTTACTTGCTAGACTTCACTGTCAGACACTATTGAGTGACTGACTGGCTTTTTTTCTTCTTTGGTAATAACATACATGAAAAGAGTTGTAAAGGGTACATGAGCATTTGTCTACATCAATAACCCACTTCTTGTGATGGCCAAGATTAAACTGATTGAATCTTTGCGTAGCATAAAACGTTGACCATTCGGTACAATTGTCTGAATATCAAGACTATTACTTTTGGGCTCTATAGCCCTAAAGTCGATTTGACAACTAATAGTCATTATTTTCCCACTTGAAGACATTTTTCAAGCCCCACCTTTTTTAGGGAAGTTCTAAATAAGTATTATCTGTCAAATGCAGTTGGAATTTAACTTTTTCATTTTTTTGGCCTGCAAATGGGACATAGTACCTTTAATCCTTATTTGAATCAAGTTCCCCTTCCTCCGCGCGTAGCGCGGAAGCTCTGACGTTTCATTAGATTATTAACGAAAGAAGACGATTCGATGTACCATTGTCGACTCTAAATCCTTTTCTGAATTCATTTCTTTTTCCCCTCCCGCGTGAAGCGCGGAAGCTTTGACGTTTCATTAAATTATTAGAGAAAGAAGACGATTCGTTGTACCGTTCTCGACTCTAAATCCTTGTCTGAATTCAGTTTTCCCGCTCCCGCGCGAAGCGCGGAAGCTTTGATGTTTCATTAAATTATTAGAGAGAGAAGACGATTCGTTGTACCGTTCTCGACTCTAAATCCTTGTCTGAATTCAGTTTTCCCGCTCCCGCGCGAAGCTTTGACGTTTCATTAGATTATTAAAGAACACAATTCGTTGTACCATTGTCGACTCTCAATCCTTGTCCGAATTCAGTTCCCCCCCCCCCCTCCCGCACGTTGTGCGGAAGCTCTGACGTTACATTAAATTATTATAGAGAAAGAAGACGATTCGTTGGACCGTTCTCGACTCTTAATCCTTGTTTGAATCAAGTTCCCCTTCCTCCGCGCGTAGCGCGGAAGCTCTGACGTTTCATTAGATTATTAAAGAAAGAAGACGATTCGTTGTACCGTTCTTGTCTGAATTCAGTTTCCCCGCTCCCGCGCAAAGCGCGAAAGCTTTCTCCTTGTCTCCGATCTCATCACGAATTCGTCACAGAGTTCATCTATGTTTACACTGTCCAGGATTGTCTGATGTGCATTGCAGATTGCTACTTTTGCGCTTCGCGCTTAACAATTAGTTTGTTGCTTTTTAACGCTGCGTCTTTGCATTTGGCGCACTGCATTTCTATGATCTGTTGATTGAACAAATTGAATAAATTAATCAATTCCTGATGAAGCCGTATGAGCAAGAATTTAATTTATTCTTATCTCATATACGGTTGTCTCATTTACTTCGTATAATATATACGTATTATGAAAATGAGATAGCAAAATGTGTATATTGATAGTCATCTTGCGAGTAATAACCATTAACTACTCTCATCGGGCTCTCATCATTATTTTTTCTCTTTTTTTTTTTTTTGATGGTGAATTATTGGGGGGGGGGGAATGATTGTTTAGGCCATCCCCCACCTGAAATATTGGGGGGGGGGATATATCCCCCCCATCCCCCCGGGATCGACACCCATGGGTACATCAGAGAGATGCCAGCAATATTTGACTTCAAACTGTCATCTCCCACGGTACATGATTGTGTATCTCTTTCTCAATTCGTAAAGGCTAAATCGTTCACTTTTTGGTCCTCTGCACCGTTATCGAAAAATTTGGAATATATATAAATTTCAATATTCTTTGGTTGTGTTGGCTTGTTGAATTTTGGTAAACCTTTGTCAGCAAAATTTCAATGGCACAATTTTGTTTTGCCAACGGGTAGATTTGTTTGACCAACATAGATTCTTTGGTTGTTGAATTTTTAAAACCTTTGTCAGCAAAATTCCAATGGCACATTTTTGTTTAAATTTGATGAAGAAACCGGGGTGGGGGGGGGGAGGCGTTTAGCACAACTTGTCTTCATCGACAGAAGACAGTTTTTGTTATAAGCTACTGAAATCCTTGCTTCTGAGTGCATGGTTATCAGCAGATATGTCACTGATTTTAGTCTTTTGTTATTGAAAGGGCTTTGTGAAACGGGTCTCAGGA